TTCACCCCAATCCACGGCATGTTGCGGCTGCGGCTGAGCTGAAGCGGCGGCAGAAGCCTCCGCCGACGAAGACGAAGAAATTGGCCTCCAGGAGAAGAGATCCCCGAGGCTCCGGCTTCCCCGTGAACTAAAAATCGGAGAATTGGATACAGACAAAATTTTCGGAGGATAACGAAACGGAGAGGACGACAACGACGATCGCAGACGGAGCTGAAACGACGGCGATGGTTTGAGGTTAGAACTCGAGACGGTGAAGAGGATTGTACAGATGGGTCGACCTAGGGTTTTGACATGAACATCAACGGTTCGCCACATTTTCCTTGCAGAGGAAGACAGGACGAGAGCGGCGACGACGAAGAGGAAGCCGCTTCCTTTGCGTTCGGTGAGAGAAATCGCTTATCGCTTTGAAAAGAGAAATGCTTGCCGTTTTGTAGATTTTGTTGATGGACGACGTGTCGTTTAACTGGGTGGAATTTGGGCCTTACAAGGAGTTGGGTTGAAAATCTTCATGGGCCTACAAAGAATTAAAGTAATTTATGCTACAGGTTGCAATGTAACGTATCAAACAATCAAAACATTTTTTTGTTTGCAACTTTCGCGAGAATTTTATTCTATTTTGTATATTGGGTAAATTTATTTAAAATTTTAGAACTGTTCCTAATATAAATACAGAAAAAATAATGATAAAATATCAATATAAAAGAGGTAAAAGAAAACAATAAAATTTATAATAAAAATACAGGAAAAATAATTATAAAATATCGTAGAAAAAACAATAAAATTTATTAAAATATATTAGGTGAGATCCGTGTGAATCGGGGCAAATGTAAAAAATACCTTTAAACGACTCATTGGATTTCAAACTATACCCTCACGCAAAAAAAAATGATACTATCATAAATAGCTTTATAAATATATATTTTCTATAATACCCTTTATTTTTTCATTTAATATAATTATATAAAATAAGTTTTTTTTTATTTCTCTCTCTTCTCTCTAATTTTCTCTGTCCTTTATTTGTCTCTCATCTTTTACGTTCTCTTTTTCTAATTAAATTCTCTCTCTTCAAATTTTCCTTCTTTCACATGATTTTTTGGTTAATTAATTAGAAAAAATAAATGAAATCTCTAAAATTTTCATCTAATAAACAATGATCTCGATAATGGACAAATTTTCATTCTAAAATTCATTTTTTATTTTGGACATTTAGGGTTTATTTTGCTTTCACATTTATATTAAATTTATATGACATAAATAAAAAAAAACAAAACATATATCAATATTATGTCATATTATATAGATATAAATGAGTTAAAATTAACATTACCATGATCCACACCAATTAAATTGATCATATTAGTTATGTTAGTTTCATGAATGAATCGTGGTCAAATAATCTAACTCATCAAATCAGTTAAACTGGTCAAACCCTTCGAAATGGCCATACTCGTAAGAATCGTCAAACTGGTCACACTCGTTTGGGGTTCAGGGTTTAGTCACACTTGTTTGGGGTTTTTGGTTTTACGACGGTTTGACGGGTCTGACGGTGCGACGATTTGTAGAAAAATTATCGGTCTAAATTAAGTTTTGAAGATTTAATATGATGTATAGGAGTTAGTATAACATAATTAAGTTGTTTTTTCTAATCGTAATTCATGTGGAAAAAATATCTTCTACCCTAAGTTAATATATTACACAAACCCTAATATAACTTTAGGGTTTCTTGGGAGAATATGCATTGTCAAGAGAGAAAAAAGTGCTAAATTATAGAGTTAAGATTAGTTTCAACTTAAGATACTTATTGATTGAGATGATAATCAATATGTTTACAATTTACAATTGTTAAATTTTTGAAATTCAATAAGGTGTGACGGTTTGACTAGTCTGACGGTTTGACGAGTCTGACGGTGTGACGGTATGACGGTTTGACAGGTCTGATGGTGCGACGATTTGTAAAAAAAATATCGGTCTAAATTAAGTTTTGAAGATTAAATATGATGTATAGGAGTTAGTATAACATAATTAAGCATTTTTTCTAATCGTAATTCATGTGGAAAAAAATATCTTCTACACTAAGCTAATATGTTACACAAACCCTAATAAAACTTTAGGAGAACATGCATTGTCAAGAGAGAAAAAAGTTTTAAATTATAGAGTTAAGATTAGTTTCAACTTAAGATACTTGTTGATTGAGATGATAATCAATATGTTTACAGTTTACAATTATTAAATTTGTGAAATTCAATAAGGTTTGACAGTTTGACTAGTCTGACGGATTGACGAGTCTGACTGTGCGACGGTATGACGGTTTGACGGATCTGACGATGTGACGAGTCTAACGGTGCGACGATTTGTAGAAATTGTTTTTGGTATAAATTAAGTTTTGAAGATTTAATATGATGTATAGAAGTTAGTATAACATAATTAAGACGTTTATCCTAATCGTAATTCATGTAAAAAAATTTCTTTTACCCTAACCTAAATATGTTACACAAATTCTAATATAGTTTTAGGGTTTTCTTGGGAGAACATGCATTGTCAAAAGAGAAAAAAAATGCTAAATTATAGAGTTATGATTAGTTTTAAGATACTTGTTGATCGGGATGATAATCAATATGTTTACAGTTTATAATTGTTGAATTTACGAAATTCAACAAGATGCGACGTTTTGACCAGTCTGACGATGTGACGAGTCTGGTGGTGCGACGCTTTGTGAAAAAAATATCGGTCTAAATTAAGTTTTGAAGATTCAATATGATGTGTAGGAGGTTAATTAACACGTTTTTATTAATCGTAATTCACGACGAAGAATTTGGACGTTCTTCTGAGGCACCGTGACTTCTTTACCATTAGAAATTATATGGAACCAAAGGTAATGTTTGGACTTTTTAACGGCCATCTTTCTCTTTCTTCATAGAAGTCCAGATTTTGACCATGTCATCTAAGGTATTGGGAATCGCATAATTGCTCTTGATACCATGGTCTGTCCTCCACATTTGCGCTTGGAGTGTTATGCAACTTCTCTAATGTTCTTGATATGGTCACTTTTGAAGATCTGAATGTTTTTATCAGAAATTGGTTTTCCTTGCATCAACCTAATCTTTTGGATACTTTTCCCTGTTTAGGCCGGAAACAATGGCATGTTCGATGATTGAGTATCTAATGGGCACATCGTTCAGATTAAACCACAACTCTTTCACATTGTCTTCCAACTTTGATGTGCGGTGTAAGAGGTCACACACCAGTGTGACTAGTATGATCACTTGACTTCATGATCAATTTGACTAGTTGATCGTGTGACCACTCCCCTTGTATGAACATTTGCCAGATGTGACCAGTTTAAACACCTTTATCGAACTAGTCAAGCTGGTCATATCATTCAAGTCCAACCAGTATGACTAATATGACCATTTAACTTTGTGACCAGTTTCACTCGTATGACCATGTGACCATTTCATTGGTGTGAGTACTTGACATTAGTGATCAGTTTGATTAGAGAAGTCAAACTCATCACGCCCTTCAATTGCGACCAATGTGACTAGTATGATCAATTCGTTTTGTGACAATTTTGACTAGTATGACCATGTGATAACTTGACGGCACGATCATTTGACTGTGGTGATCAATTTGACCTGTTGATGTCGTAAATCTAGGTGTATAAGATTCAACCAAGTAATAATATCTTAGACTCAACAAATTCCGCAAGTGTGCGGATCGTGTGTAGCAACTAGGTTCGAACACAGGGACAAGTAAACAACTGAATCAGATTCTAATCCAAATCTAGATCTAGAGAAAATATGAGAGTGTGATAAAACGTAGCAAAGCAAATAACGAAAATCGGTTGTAAAATATGAATGATAAACACTGCAGGTTTCGGGATTGCTTTACATGTAAGGATCTTTCAAAAGATGCAAACTCAGTGGTTTATCTATCCGATTCAGGGAATTCAAGCTCTAAAGTAGAGATTAACCCTCTAAGTCTAACTTCACTATCCATGCTTTATCCTACTAATCTCTTGATTCAATAGTCTAAAACTCTGGATGCATGAACGAACGTTATCATAATCCCTAGGCAAATATCCATCTCTCGATGCAATACTTGTTCTATTTATTGAATTATTTCCAGATTAAAATCTCATATTTCTATGCGAATTGAAACCCTAAATTCATTCAACCAAGTGGCCAACGAGATCAAAAGCATTAAGAACAATTCAATAAACTGAATGGAATAAATAAATCCACAAAGTCTGGAATTAAAAACCACAGATCCCTGCATAGCAAATCCCTAACCTACAATAAAGGAACTACTCGCTAAACATCGAGACGTCATGGTTCATATCAATAATACAAAACATCGTAAAATAGAAGAAATGAAGAATGCTTAGTCGATTTTCCGGCTTCGCAATCTCCATATTCTACTCTGATCTCTTGCCTCTTGATAATCGCCCCATTTTCCTGTGCTGTTGGTGTGTTTTCTGATAGAAACTTGAATTCTTTTCGACCTAGAAGATTTTTCCTCTTATATCCCTTCGTTTTGGGCAAAATTGGAAGTATTCCTGAATTTGGGGGTCGAACCGATCGTTTCGTACATGACCGAACCGATCGCTTCTACTTTCTGAGCAATTTTCCAATTTCTGCGACGCCGAACCGATCGTTTCGTCCATCAAAACCGATCTTGTCACGCTTCTGGACAATTTTGACGGATTTCACAAATTCGCTCATAATTTTCTGCTCCGATATCGGATTTTGGTGATCTTAGTGTGTGTAGATATTGAGAAGAGCTTTCCAATAATGTTGAGAACGCATGATTTAGACTTGTAGAGTAAAAGTTATTGGACTTGCAATATCTGACATTTTCTGAGCTTCACGTTTTCCCTGGAAACACTCCAAATGTTCTCGTTTCATCCGTGATGTTCCGTAGTCCATGTTTTCCACTTCTTTTGCTCTTTTTATACGTAAAAATCTATTTAAACACCAAAGAACACAACCATCCAATATCGAAGCCAAATGTGCCCTAGAATACCTACAAATATGTAAACCGAGTGAAATACGCTAGGCATCCTATATCAAAACATCATATAAAATACATGTTATCACCTGTTTAACCAGACTAGTCAAACTCGTCACACCCTTCAAGTGTGAGCAGTATAACTAGTATGCCTATTTTGATAGTGTGATCGTGACTTAAGTCTCATATGACTCGTCTTTTGTGAAAATATTATTTCTCACATTCTAACTGAAATCCTAATTTTTCTGATATATGCAACTCGAATAATAAAACCCATTTGATTTGTTTTGTCTCTTTTTATTGTTTACCCGAATGCACATACACAAAATTCTAAAAAAATATTTCACTTTTTCGGTGAGTTCGAATGAAAAACCTACTTGGAAATCTTCGT